TATATAGCAGAAGATTGGCGGTGGGGGTCGTGGCTGGTTGGTGGCCCCCCTCTAATACTTTCTTCGCCCAATATTATTTATTTATTCCGAAACGATTCTCCGTGATGTTTCAGCACTTTTGGAGTTGTGCAGAATAGGTCTCCAATATTTACTCCTTTTTCCAGTTCAGAATTCCAGCTGCTGGCATTCTCCCTCTTCATGTAAACCTTATAAAATAAGAGAGAAAAGGCATAAGTATTGTGATATAAAGTGTAATAACAACCCATAATGCAATAAATATTAAAATAAAAGCATGATGCAAAATGGACGTAACCGCCTCCAGAAGCTTTAGTATTTCATTTCTTACCACTTCTTTCATCTTAGGATTTAACCGCCGTTGATGATCAACAACTGGTTTAGCACCAGGCTCCAACTTAATTTTGTGCTGACATAAAGTGGGACTAATACCCTTAAGATCATCAAGAGTATATCCAATAGCGGCACGGTGCTTCTTCAGAGTTTTCAATAATTTCTTTTCTTCATTCTCTGAAAGGTTAGCACTAATAATAACAGGATATATCTTCTTTTCATCAAGATAAGCATATTTCAAGGTGTTGGTTAATTGTTTACGGTCAAACACGGGATCACCCTTGGGTGGAGCAGGATCCCCAAGGATTTGAACAGGTAAATTGTGTTTGAAAATAGGTGCTTGATTAAAGAATATTTCATCTATTTCCCTTCTTTAATTCATAAACATATCATTTTCATGGTCTAGCAAATATTATTGTAAAGGATCAATAGGAGGCACGACAATAGAAGCATGACCAATAATTTCATCCTTACTAGGAAATTCTTTATAATGGGGTTGTCTACGAAATTTAGGGAAATTAAAATCACACTACTAGGAAAAGATATGCTAGTGGCGCACCAGTTTTGCCTTCTAATGGCACACTACTGCTGCGCCACTAGCATCACGCCATTAGAATTAAATTCTAATGGCGCACCACCGGTGCGTCATTAGTATCTGGTGTTCTAATGGCGCACCACATAGTGCGCCATTAGAATTGCCCGCAGTGCGCCATTAGAATTCCTCCCAGGGTAATGGCGCACAACATAGAAGTGCTCCATTAGTAACAGTTTTTTTTAGAATTTTTTTTATTTTTTTCAATTTTTTCTTAATCTTAGGTCACTATGGCGTAATCTCGGGTCAAATCGCACTCCATGGTCAAACTTCCCAAAAGGTCACCCATCCTCACACTACTCCAGCCCAAGCACGCTAAACTTCAGAGTTCTATCCAACCCCAGCAACAGCTCACTTCATAGGCACTTGTTGATATATCTAGCATATCAATCCTATTTTACCTTGTTGATGTCTAGGACTTTGTTCATGTTCATGATTATGATGAAATTTTGAAAAATATTTCAAACTTCTCGGTCATATTATGTTTCATATTTTGAAAAAAAATCAGAAAAAAAATTCAAAACCAATTTTTTTTCTATTACTAGTGGCGCACCACATCCACGGTGCGCCACTAGCAAGTTTGAATTTTTTTGCCTCTAGATCTTGAAAGCCCCGTAACTTTTTTCTGTTAGGTTTTTGGAGATTTTGAAAATGTTTAATAGGGTTTTCCCAGTTAAATTCGGATGCAACTTTTCGAGTAGATGATTTTTCATATAAAAACTTTTTAATCCGAGTTCGTATGCAAAAGTTATGCCCATTTTACATATTTCCAGAGAGATTTTGCAAATAAAGTCGAAATTCATATTTATAAATTTTCCCAACAACTAGACCACATATCACATGGGAACTTATTTTTTTAATTTTTTTGACATTTCCATCATTTTCTTTTATTTTTTAAAAACTGAAAAGGCGGTCAGGGGGGGTGCATTCAGTGTTGGGCCAAGTTAGTAATGGCGCACCGTGGGGTGGTGCGCCACTACTAGTTTTGAATTTTTTTTTAAAAAAAATTGAAATTGTTTTTGATTTTTTTGAAAAAAACTTAGTAATGGCGCACCAGTGGACAGTGCGCCATTATTACTAGTTAAAACTAGTAATGGCGCACTGTCCACAGGTGCGCCATTAGTAACAATTATTTTTTATTTTTTTTACTTTTTATTCAAAACTACGAATGGCGCACGGCGGGTGTGGTGCGCCATTACTATGTCAACTAGTAATGGCGCACTATACAACGGTGCGCCATTAGTAACAATTTTTTTATATTTTTTTTAAAACTAATAATGGCGCACCACACACCAGGTGTGCGCCATTAGAATATAGTAATGGCGCACCACATGTCTGGTGCGCCATTAGTGACCATATCGTCTATAGCCCTTTTCCTAGTAGTGTCATGAGACATATCCCCTAAACCGACAGTAACAATATCTTTCTCGCAGTCTATGTTAGCATTAACAGTATTCAAGAAAGGTCTACCAAATATAATGGGACAAAAATTATCTTATGAGGGAACCAAGAACGAGAAAATCAGTAGGGTATTTTATTTTCCCACACAAGACTTCAACATCTCTAACAATCCCAACTAGTGATATAGTATCTCTATTGGCAAGCTTAATAGTAACATCAATATCTTCTATCTCAGCAGGTGCAATATCATTCATAATTTCTTGATATAAGGTATAAGGAATTGCACTCACACTAGCACCCACATCACATAAGCCATGATAACAATGATCCCCAATTTTAACAGAAAGAACAGGCATGCCAACACCAGGTCGATGTTTATCTTTAGTTTCAGGTTTAATAATCCTAGCAGCTTCATCACAGAAATAAATAACATGCCCATCAATATTATCGACCAAGAGATCCTTAACCATAGCAATACTAGGTTCAACTTTAATTTATTCAGGGGGTGTAGATGTTGTAGTATAACTCTTAGGATCCACAGTTGAAGCTTTAGCATGATCCTTTATTCTAACAGGAAAAGGTGGTTTTTCAATATAAGCAGTAGGAACAATACGATCAACATTATAATTAATGGTTTCTTCTTCAACTTTAATAGGTTTTACTACCTTAACTTCAATGGGAGGATGATATTTAAACCACTTCTCCTTAGGGAGATCAACATGAGTAGCAAATGATTCACAGAAAGAAGCTACTATCTCAGAGTCAAGTCCATATTTACTGCTAAAATCACGAAAAGCATATGTATCAATAAAAGATATAACATAATCAAACTTAAGGTTTATACCTGACTCCTTACCTTCCTCGAGTTCCCAATCTTCGGAGTTGCGTTTCATTCTTTTCAATAAGTTCCATTTGAATTCAATAGTCTTCATCATAAAAGAACACAAGAAGTATCGAGCATGGATCTATCATTATGAGAAAGCCGAGCATAAATGTTTTGAATAATAATTTCTCTTGAGAGCGCATGATTGGGGCATGAATATAACATTGACTTAAGACTCCCCCAAGCTTAAGAGATACTTTGTTCTTCACGAGGCCAAAAAATATCTATCTATCTATCTATCTATACCTATACTAATCATAGACTCCCTGTAAATTCCCATGTTAATCAGTAATTAGGAACCGTTAATCTGGTGGGACCGAGTTATAACGGTTTTGATTAATCCATAAAATCCCTGGCTGATACGATTAGAGGAAATAAATCATAGGACTCCTGGCGATTTATCTATGCGCGTGATTCTTCCATCATTGGCTGCGAAAGAAATATCTGTATTGCAGGCTCTCGAATCCCTAGCTAATCTACAGTATGATGTCAAAAACCAAAAATAATGCACATCTTCTGCTTTGGTGCAACATGAAGTGGCCTCTACTATTCGATCTGATGCTCCAATCCACGTAAGAGTTCACCAAATCTCAATCCAATCTCCCAGGAGGTGATGTACGTACGTGCAAAACTTGCACGCAAGCAAGCAGACAGGCTACTTAATTGATTAGCCGTAGCGTAGCACTAGCCCACGTACACGTAAGAAGCTAGCTTCAACCGAAACTCTTGATTCTTTCGTATCTGGACGGGATCGGAACGACTCGGCTCTCTCGACGGATCATCCCGTAAGTGAGCTAGCTCTAATCGACCAGATTGACTTACTCCGGCGCCGTCCTGGGAACTTGTGTGTAACTTGGCGATGGAAGAAACAAATCGGGAGATTATATTGATGGCTACAGGTGCACCTGTTTTTCATTTATTGCTTTCGGCACCTGAATCACATTTGTTGCCAACCTACAGCAAGCTAGGTAATTAAGTAGCGTTCTCTACATCTAGGAATTGACCACAGCCAACCAGTTTATAGAAGGTATTCCGATTTTTTCATAAGGAAGTGATTTAGATGTTGTAAATTTTTAATTCTAATGTGTGATAAATCTCAGATTATCTGCATGTTTAACAAATAATTTGTATGTCCAGGATTAAGCAAAAGTATGATGCCTTGGCATCAAATATTTTCATGTACTTTTGACATTTAATATATTACAAGCTTCCTGGATTTGTCAAAATCATGTCTAATACTGTACAACATATGTTTTGATGGATTTGTGAGATTTTAGTACTGTTGCATGTGCAAAATTTAAAATAGATATATGGCATATCGATTTATACATGTCACTGTTTACATGGTTTTTTTGTTGTATTTGGCAACAGATCTAGATAAATGATCTTTTTTATACAAAACATTCATAATAAAATTTAGTACAATTGTAACCATCGAATCTATGATGTCTTACTTTGTTTTTAGTAATACATGTTATCTTTCCACCGCAGTTCCAATATTCAGATGTTTATAGCTGACACTTGCAGAAAATATGACAAGGAGTTTTCATATATTCAGATGGAATTTCAGCCCAGTTGGATTTGAGGTGAAGGAAGGAGGAGAACTCTCATTCACCGAACTATCACCGTGGTCCCTGAATTTGCCCTAATATCTAGGGTTCCTTCCATACCCTGATCTATCTCATTGATATCTCTCATCTCTCAATGTTATTATCTTCCATTTCTTCTTCTCCATGACCCAATGTTCGTGTTCCCTCAATTTTCTCTAATCTCCAGGGTTCCAGTTTTTCCATGCCCTGATCTCTCTCATCTCTCCCATCACAAATTTTATGCACGTCCCACTCTCAATACACCTAAATCCATCAATATCACTTTCCGAGACATGATCCACTAGATTTTCGCTTTTTCTTATACTTGGATGAACTCCATGAATGGTGTTCAGGCAGAACGAATGTCGTTAAGTTATGTTGTGTTCATGACGGCTTGGTGGCATCCCGTCACCAGGGGCATGCCACGGCTGCCACCATTGCCGGCGCACAGCAGGATGACTCCACAAAGATCTCCGTCAGATCGGGGAGCAAAGCGCCAAAGCAGTCATAGCCTCCAACGTCCAGGGTTAGAGTAGCAGACCAACATGAATGATTGGTTCTACATTCAGTACATCAACGTTGGGCAGGATCTGTGAAGGAATTCCAAGAAATATCCCAAAAGAACTGCACGTGCAGCCTGTACTATTCTCTTCGGAGGAAAAAGAACTGCTTTCAGAGTTGAGATTAATCAATATCCAGAACTCATGATGGTACAAGATATTTCAATTACGATTTTGATACTCTCATTTCTTTCCGAAATTTATTAAATGTGCAATATTCCCTTTTCTTATATTATACTGCAGTTTTCAGTTTTTGAATTGGTACACCAGTGCAGTTTTCAGTTTTTGAATTGGTAGAACAGTGCAGTTTTCTGTTTTTAAATTGGTAGAACAAAGTGCACTTTTCTGTTTTATGGATTGCTATGCAGGTATGTAATTCCTTGGAAAATTCCCACACCATGTCCGGGTTCGAATTCAATTGAATGGATATAGCTTAATAAAAGACTGATATTGCTCTATGCATCCCTATTCAAGGAGGAGTTCCAACCAACATTCTTTGGGAAAGAATAGTACCAAAGTAGGCGCAGCCGCGCAGGTTTGTTTCTTCGTGAGCTTTACATAGTTATGAGGTATATTCTGGAATCCAATTTCGTTTTTTCTGCAAGGGCCTTTACAAAGATTCCAAATTGCCAGGTATTAGTATAAGTATTCAAAATTTATATTTCTGTTAAACCTGACCCAATAAATCTATGTTACGCATGCGCATTTGCCATGTCGCTCAGGGCAAAGAAAACCATCTTTACAATGTCGCTCTCCAATCTTCTCCTATCAATCCTGCCATGACGATTTCTAGTCGGTAACTGGATAGCTCTTCTGATTGAACATGACTTTTCTGTGTCACACGGATTTTTGCGTCACGGCACCGACGGCCACCCAAACATGCTTCGTTTTCAAATTAGGACTTGATGCACATGCAACCATATCGACTGCTCCATATCCTGGACTCCCAGTATTCGAACCACGGAGTCTAGCATCCAGACGACCACTTAGCTGCTGACTAGCTTCCTCCTCCGTTCTAGATTATAAAGGGCTGAACTGCGACGTGATGAAATGAGTACATTGGTACAAAGAATAATAGGATAATTGAAGGAAAAGCAGCTGCAACTTCCCCACTTTTACTCTCTTCCTTTTAGCTACATCGTTATCTTCCTGCAATTTACATGGACCGTGTGGTGTGGTGATCCGTGTGAAAACATGCCTTATATCAGTAGGTTCCGCTGCACGTCTCCATTAGATTTAGTTCTTTCTCACCGTAAACAGCAAGAGTACTTGATGAACAATGTTGGTTTAGAAATACAACATGGATGCCAAAATTATTTACTTTTGTCGATCCAGGTTTCAAAGGATTTGATTATGGAAGTTTTAATTATTCCTTCACAGAATACAAAAGGTACACATACAAACTTTGCTTACTTAATTCTTTTATGTGATACACACATTTGCAGTCGTTCCAATTTGTACCATCGAATTCTACTGTGAGTAAACCGCCGGATATATTTTCCCATATGTATCTAATTAGGTCTCCAAGATACTTGATTTTTTAATCATTTGTTACTTGCATTGCAAATTTGCAGATGCACTACAAGGATATACATGCCTCATGAGATCTTTATAGAAATATCTTATTGTGGAAGCTTATAATTCATTAGTTTTTATGTGCATTCCTTGACTTTGCTGATGCAACGCTACTCAGGATTAGAAAAGCGTGAAAATTGCAATAATATATTTGTAATCCTATTTTTTCTACATTTGAATTACCAACACCTATATATAAGAATTTTATTAAAAAATGTCCTATTTGCAAGTTACGCAAAAGTTTACTATTGTGATGATCTTACATATATAGAAAGCGGTAGAAACAAATAATGTAGACACTTCTCTTTCAGTGTAACATGGAAATAAAAAAAATTGCAGTAAAGTTCAAACTCTGGCATCCTTTTTGAAATCAGCTCAAATGAGCCATTCAAGGTTTCCTTTCAGGTACACTATATTATGATATATTAGTGTCATTGGGTTTTAGATGGCCGGAAACCATACATGATTATTACTAACGCCATTAATGAAAGGATAAGGTAGTATCTTTTTGTGATCGAATATAAATTTATCATTTCTAGAGTAAGGGATGACACCTAATAATTTAGGGATTCGGGAGACATGACAAAGGAAACTATTGTTGGATAGTGTCATGTTATCGTGCATTATCTTTTCTTTTAATTTATATATGGTGTGAGTACAGAATTAACAACCATCCTAAAAAATATAACAAAACAATACAGTATTAGTGTACATAATTGGTAACGCACATACTATATGTAAATTTCAAATTACGGGTTTATTGAAAAGAATATATCATTTGTACGACACGGTAGCCAATATGCATCATTGCATGTTATAGTTGCAATGGTTAAAAGTGATACTATAATTTATTTTGTAATGTTTGTTTCCACTAATATTGTTTGCAATAAAGATAAATATAAGTTCAACTTATATACATCTACTTACGATTTTCTAGCCCGTGCGGACGCACGGGTTGACGACTAGTATATATAATTCCGATCACGATGAACCAGATCTATAGGATAAAACTTCTGATGAAATTCCGATTTCAATCGGTTGTAATTCCATGATCCAATATCATCACATAGCCTATACCATGTCAATATCTTTCCCTTCAAAGATAAAGGGAAGACCTTATTCTTGACAATATCTTCGGGCATACCTACAAGCTTAAATAATCCACAAACTTTATCCACATAGATTAGGTGCATATCGGGATGTAATGTTCCATCTACTGCATAAGGATTAGCTAGCAGTTTCTCTATCATACCCGAAGGAATTCCATAATAAATATTTTCAGTAGGTGTAGTAGGTTCAAGAGAACCTCTTTGCTCTTCCGGTCGAGGTGAAGATACCCCGAGCAAGCCCCTCACAGGATTATTTTCTATAGTAACAAGTGACAGTAAATTTCAGCGAGAGTGGCGTTTTGGCTCCTAGGTGCATATGCACCCATTGTCGAAATACACATTTCGAAAAGCTGAAAAATTAGGAACAAAAATCCCACGTGTATATCCGAACATTTTATGTGCGTTCACAAGGTTTCGGTGAAAAACGACGTTTTTTGTGGCTTGAGTAAAAAAGATAAAGAAATGCCTCGTGAATAGTAAGAATGAAGCATTAGAAATTGTCTTTTTTACACAAGCCACAAAAAACGTCGTTTTTCACTGAAACCTTGTGCACGCACATAAAATTTTCGGATATACATGCGGGATTTTTGTTCCGAATTTTTCAACTTTTCGAAATGTGTATTTTGACAATGGGTGCATATGCACCTAGGAGCCAAAGGCAATTACCGAATTTCAGCACACTATATAAAAGTTTCCTTACCAAATTCCACTTACCAAAGGCGCTTCACTCCCCGGCAGCGGCCCCAGAAAAAATTCTTGATGACCCATTGATGACCCACAAGTGTAGGGGATCACAACAGTTTTCAATAAGTAAGAGTGTCGAACCCAACGAGGAGCTAAAGGTAGAATAAATATTCCCTCAAGTTCTATCGACCATCGATACAACTCTACGCACGCTTGACGTTCACTTTACCTAGAACAAGTATGAAACTAGAAGTACTTTGTAGGTGTTGTTGGTAGGTTTGCAAGATAATAAAAAGCAGGTAAATAAAAGCTAGGGGCTGTTTAGATAAAGAAGTAATAAAGTAAATATAGCGAGTGTGAAAAAGTGGTGATAGGAGTTGTGGAATTGTCCCTAAGCAATTGACTATGTTACTAGACCGGTAATCACTATTGCAATTCTATTTGAGGGAGAGGCATAAGCTAACATACTTTCTCTACTTGGATCATATGCACTTATGATTGGAACTCTACCCAGCATCCACAACTACTAAAGATTCATTAAGGTAAAACCCGACCATGGCATTAAATCATCAAGTCCCCTTTTATCTCATACGTAAACAACCTACTTACTCGGGTCTATGCTTCTGTCACTCACGCCACCCAGCATAAGCAAATCATGAACATATTGCAAACCCTACAGCGGGGATCCCTCACGCTTGCGCGACACGGAGGGCACAATAGGATAGCACCAATAATAAAACATGCAACTCAAACCAATAATAGCAATTCATCAATCACCGATAGGACAATAAAAATCTACTCAGACATTATAGGATGGCAATAGATCATTGGATAATAACATGAAGCATAAAGCACCATGTTCAAGTAGAGGGTACAGCGGGTCGCGGGAGAGTGGACTGCTGAATATAGATGGTGGAAGGTGATGGAGATGTTGGTGAAGATGGCGGAGGTGTTGGTGAAGATCGCGGTGATGATGATGGCCCCCGACGGTGTTCTGGCGTCACCGGAAGCAAGGGGGAGAGAGCCCCCCTTCTTCTCCTTGACCTTCTCCCTAGATGGGAGAAGGGTTTCCCCTCTGGTCCTTGGCTCCCATGGCTTGGGAGGGGCGAGAGCCCCTCCGAGATTGGATCTGTCTCTCTGTTTCTGCGCTCTCAGATTCTACCCTTCACCGTTTCTTAAATATCCGGAGATCCGTAACTCCGATTGTGGTGAATCTTTCGCCCAGATTTTTCTCATAAAGTTAGATTTCTTGCGGGAAAA